GGGGGGGGGGGGGGACTGCAATAATGATAAAAAAGGACTGTTTTCGTCTTTCTTCAGCACTAGTCTCAAAATGCGAGAAGTTCTGTAATTCTAGAGACTTTAGAAAGTCAAAATTTATCCAGTAAATATTGCCGCCGCACTGGCTACGTTACTGCAGATAGTTGTATCATAGCACTATTGTTTGATAGACATGCACTTTAATAAATACAGTAGAAATTTAAGTTAATACATGTGAACAAAGCCTCACAATGAATTATTTTTACATATAATGCGACTAAAAGAACAGATCGCTCTCACCTGATCACGTGACACATTTCTCACATGTATTATAGATCGCTACTACGAGTGCTAACAAGAACATTTGAATCGATACAACCATTTCTCCTTGAGTTTTGGAAAAATATTATTGCTGACGTCAGCATTAATTTCAAAGGCTGTTAAAACTATATGTTATACACACAGTATACCATTACCATGCATGGCGTAATCATAAGATTGATACGTAAGTTACAACTTTACAGTTTTGTATTTTATTCCATCACATGTCGACCTTTATTTGCAGCAGCGTTAAATTTTTTCCAGGTTTATGACGAATTCGAGCGACCTACTCAAACTAGAATTTCCATATCCAAATTGTCATGCGACATTCACACTCGATCCTGATAAACTCATAAACAAGTTGCCGACATGCCACGGAACAATTTCATAAAGGCCCGTTACACGGGCGATTTTTGCTGCGATTTTAGTTGCGAATTTCTCTTTTTGGAGGATGTGAAGGAGTATAGTCTTACTTAATGATGTTGATATGAGATTTGATAACCTGGACAAGTGGAACATTTATAACTCATCGGCCACTCCTTCATATCCTCCAAAAGGAGAAAATCGCAACTAAAATCGCCTGTGCAAATGGGCCTTAACATACGTACTCGATCCCGGAGTTGGTGTTTCTATGTTAATTCTTACAATGCTGCAAAGAAGGGAAAAAGCTTTGCCTTATTTTTCTAATTATAATATAGCAGGCGGATGTCACATTTGCATAACGGAAATGAAATTGGAAAGCAACAATACAGAAAGTTCAGTCGTGCGATAATAAAACAAATATCTGTACAGGGACTCTTTCCCGTCGTTCCAGCAACCAAGTAAGGATTTTACATACAAGTATTGTAATTTGATAGCAACATAATATACCAGGAAATTCATTTCTAAGAAGTAATAACGAAAGTTTAGTCATGTGATTATAAAACAACAAAACGTCTCTTATAGGCTGTCGTTCGCGTCTACTGAGTGAGACCAACCTCGACGTGTAAAATGGTTTCTTTCTGAAATTTATCACGTTTTAAATGGCTCGTGCTTTAGAAACTGACCCGAAAATCTACAATGTAATGTATGTCTGGAGGTATTAACAGATCCCAGAACCCTTCCCTGCTGCCATTCCTTCTGTAAAGATTGTTTGGAAGGCGTTGTGCAAACATTGCGTGGTAAAGCACCTCGCGGTCAACCTATTCGAGAGTTTCCATGTCCAAATTGTCGTGAAACGTTTATACTCGATCCCGATAAACATGTCGCCGATATGCCACGGAACCATTTCATATGTAACATGGTAAAAGCGACAGCCGTACTCGAATCGGCGTTCCTTGTTCACATAGTTGTAGCCAAAGGCAAAGCTACTCGGTCGCTCGTTGCGTCACTTGTGAAAAATTCCTATGCCGAGAATGTCTAGCAGGCCACAACAATTATCGAGCCAACAACGGTCATTCTGTTCTAACTATGGAAGAGTTATCAAAGCCAGAGAATCGGAAGAAAATCAACGACAAAATGTATTGCAATGAACATTCGGGGATGATATTAAAAGTTTACTGCAAAACCTGCGACCAACTGATTTGTCGGGACTGCATGGATTTTAAACACGTCAAGCAAGGACATTCGTGTGTTCTTGTCAAGGATGTGGCGAACAACTACAAAGAACTTCTTGCTTCAAATAACAGAGCAATGGAAGACGTTTTAACTGAAGGAAATGCACTTCTTCAAAGATTAATGCTTACGACAGAACAGCTTGATCGGGATGCTGAAAATATCAAAAGTCAAATTGTACAAAAGAATGATATCGTGCTGAAAACTGTTGCCGGAATGATGGAGCAAAAAACGAAAATGCTCTTGAACAAAGTGGATGAAATTCGCAAAGCTGGACGAGCAAAGTTGGACAGAAAGGCAGAAGAAACTAAGCTGTATATAGAAAACGTAAAAGGATCTGTTCAACTTTCAAAAACGTTGGTCGACCAAGGCACAGAAGAAGAAATAATTTCCTCTCAGAAAATGATGCTGGATAACGCAAATAATCTCCTAACAAATCGCGAAGAGTATTTCAAAGCACCTATACCCGTTAACAAGTTAAGCTACACAGTCTGTGGTAGAAAGGAACCAATACACAAAGAGATCTTGAGAGAGCTGGCAAACAGTTTAGGAGAAGTTAATGACGACAACTATGCCGGTGAGTTTCTGTAGATTGTGTCTGTGATGTGGAGCTTTCAAAGAAATATTGGGAATAAACTAATTTTAAAACAGCCCAGTCTAACACTATAGACTTGCTTCAAGTCTTGCTCGATTTGGCTTCGTTTTAGATATGGTCTATCCTACTACGAGATCAGTTTGAACTAACCTCACAACAGACTGGATGGACCTTATCTAAACTGAAGCCAATTCGAGAGAAACTTCGAGCAAGTCTAGCCACACTAACTTTACTGCTGCACAGTTATTTTATCCCAAGGTAATTTGACTGCGCCATCATCTGATTTGAAGAAAACAATATTCCATTCCTCACCTACAGGTACAGGTACAGGTACAGGTACAGGGATAACAAAACAAACCTTTTTAAGAATTGCTGCAGAGAGTGCGACTCACTCAGAGACTATCAAAGTCAATCAAAAGCTTGATGACAGGCAATTTGCTGAAATACTTGAAGTACAAAACCTTCATAATGTCTGCATCGAATGCGAGCCTGTAATTGGGTTCATCCGAATTAGTGGTCTTGCCAAAAACGTATCGAACGCAGTGGGGGAAATTCATCGAATTATCTACGCATGGGAGCAAGAGAAGCAGCACACAGATGCTACCGTTCGCGAGGTTTGTAATTTATTTTATATTATTCCAAATTAAAATATTACACTATTTGAGCCATAGAGGGGTCTAGTAGAAACTTGAACGTTTTTTGTAATAAGAGTTATAAGACCCCTATCAATCTCAAATCAGTCCAGAAAATTACATGTTTAAGGAGAAAAATACCACTATGACAAGACAGAGGAAAGGCAATAGAACATTCCAGTCAATGCATCGTGACTGGATGGCATTTTGTTACGCAAAGCGATATTCAAAGGAACATTACAGTACGTGTGCTACATAGATACTGATAGAGTGTGTAAAAGAAGAAATTGTTTGCAATGAGTACGAATACTTGTTGGAGTACGGTTACATTATTAACGTTAATAATAGGAAAGTATATACAGAAGAAAACTTATGCTATGGGCTATAAAATAAGAAAAATGCCGAATTTGCACACGAAACAATTCTTATCGCTTCCCTGCATATATTAAACCACCATCGGCAAACTGTTTGTCAGGTTGAGCTCGGTTTTCTGTGCCACCGAATATCACAAGACCAGTCAAAGCCTTTATGGCATAATTATGGCTATATGTGCCCGGTTGTTAGCACGTAGCCGCTTTATTGTTGTAATCAGTTTTTAATAATTAACAAGAAAAATTATTAATTAATAACTATATAACATTTAGCACAGAAAAGGTGGGGTATTATTAACGTCCACTACACATAACGTATCTATATAAGTTCAACATATAGCGTCCAAATACTGGGGGGAGGGTGGGTAAATCTCTTTCGTCCAATTTCTTGATGTGCACTGCAGCCCTCGTGGAATAGAAAAGGAAAGATGGCCCGCTTCTCCACTGATAAATACAGAAACTTCCAATCACGTGACTATACTTAAATTAACTTGCGCGCGCAAATAACCTATTTCTCATAGTTATTTTCAACTATAAATTATTCCGGGAAGCGATAAAAACTTTTATCGCTGGCAATAAGTTCCTTTGTTGCACTTGGCGAAATAGCCATAAAAGAATCAATAGAATCTCATCAGAAGCTATTGGATTTGGAACGTGTATTCCTCCAACATGGCCGCTATATCTTTGTATATAATTCCAAGGGGATTGCAACCCACCAATAGCTTGAAATCCAGGAAGTAAGTAATCTTACGTAAATAAAAACAATTTTCATTGCCCGCTAGTAAATTCGGAAAGAGTATATACGGCTTTTGTAATGGAATTAATTTTTATAGGTTCAGTGGTTCTATTACGAGACGAATGCAAATGTCGTTATCCCTGAGAAATACCACGACAGCATAAGCGCCAAGATAGAGAGGGCATACAAGAACGATCCATCAGGAAGTGTTGTAGTTGGTGAAGAGATAAAATTAGAAATAGATTTCAAAACCATGACGGAGAGATGTTTGGATCCAAGCGTGAACGAAATAATGAGAGTGTATAGACGTCCCTGTGAAGGTAAGCCATAACTTGGGAATATTTCAGTACCTTTAAACGTTCTTAATTCGCAGAGGAGCAGTAAGAGTCTTCTCGAATACCAAAGAAAACCTAAGACGTACTACTTATATGCCTCACATTGGACTGAAGCGAAATTATATTCAAACAACTGCATATAGCAGAAATTGGACACAGATAGCAGGGATATAGAATACGCGCTAATGAGTAGCACGATTAACGTTTTTTTTCGTCGGGGTGTTAAGCTATTTTAAGTAAACAATTTATTGATATTATTAGACTCAAAGCGGCTTACAAAAAAAAACTAAAAACAGCTGAAACCATGCCACACTTCAAAAATAAATTTCAAAATAAACGAGATTTAATGGCGACGGCCGCTCAAAGATGAGTGTGGGCAGTGACCTACTGCGCAATTACTTGTCAAGTGATGATCCTACACAGTTCAATGCCTATATATACATGCGAAAATTTTTCTTGTTCAAAACCTTGCACAACTAGCCTTTGAACAAGACCTCCTTATATATAAAGAAAACAATTGTCAAGTTTTGCCGTACTCACGAACAAGAACACCTTGTAAAGGAAAAATCGTAAAGGAAAACTTGCTCTTTGTACGAGGCTTAAACCTATATACGTGGGAGTCACGATCGTTCTCGCCCAAAGAACACGAAACTCACATGACATTTAAACAAAAGTATAATGTGTATCTTACAACATTCCGACATGCACGACCTTGATCAGAAGACAGAATGCATATTTGTGCACGTGCAGCATAAGCTATTGCTGCAAGCCTTTCACGCATAATTTTTAAAATTTATGTAACGAGTATGTAAGAAATGAATCATGCATAAAATCAATCATGCATAAATTCAGTCGTGAACTGTCTGCGTCAGTGTAGGTAGTGCCAATAATATTATCGAGCTTTCGTTGGTAGGGATACAACTGCCGGACAAACATAAGGAGAATTTCGACGTTTCGAGCGTTTATACTTTGTTTTGACTAAATCCATCTAATTGTGTTTTTTTTAACGCTAGTAACTCCAGACGAAGGGCCTTCGCTCGAAACGTCGAAATTTTCCTTATATTTTCAGGTAGTTGCATCCCTACCAACGAAAGCTTGTTAATAAAATCAGTCGTGCGTTTATAATAAATTGTGCGTGAACGGTTAAAAAGTCCAAGTTTTAGAGGTCGCGCATTGCACTGAACGTACGTCAAATAGTCTGGTACTTTGTTGGTTCATCAACCACCTTCCAAATTTGCATCCTATCAAATTGTGTTTTAAGCCTTCCAGTTTTGTGCGCAAGCCATTTTTATAGTGGATTATTAAGCATTTTTAAAAACAGCCCTCCTACATTCGAAAATTTACGTTTCAAAATCATTTTAGTGGTGAAGATACTAGCAGATCCCAAACTACCCATTCTTGCATAAATTTTCACAAATTTGCAGTTTAGCGTACATTTTCGAACTGTGTAGTTTTTTATACACTCTGTACTTACGCCTATCACTTCTAAACAGTTCTCCTTAAAAGGTGTACTGTAAAGTAAAGGCCATGGCGTGTTGGTCCATAAAGTCTTCAAAACTTTTTTTCGGAATTTGCACTTTAGCGGACATTTTAGAACTGTGCAGTTTTTTTACACACCGCGTACTTACGCCCATCATTTCGAAACAGTTCTCCCTAAGAGGTATAAGTAAAGACCATGGCATGTTGGTCCAGCGTCACAACAGGAGTGCGGTGTTAAGCAGATAGGGTGGAAACACCCTTTTCGCATGTGGTGAGGTTAAGTTATAATCAGACTCGAAATAAAACTATTGTATGCAATTCTTGGTAGATCTTTTCACATACATCTGTACCTTTCTAGCATTTCCACTGCCTCCAAACTGGGAATTTCAACCAATAGATTGTTCCACTGGCAAAGAACGCGACGTCCACCGGTTCACCATTGATAAACATGATATTGAATACGACCAAATCCATGACATGTTTAAAGCGTCACTGATAACGACACTGCCAAACGCCGAAGTTGTAAGAATTGAAAGAATTCAAAATCCTCGATT